CGTTACTTCCATCGTTAAAATTGAAGGGAAAAGTTTTAGGTCAGGTACTAACTTTCTATTCCTTTATACAATTCCTCCTTTATGTTATATCAGTCCTTTGTACCATCATTGTTAGTAGATGGAACCTTAATGCAGTTTGGTGGTTTATTTTTGTGTGGTTAGTGGAAAAAATTTAATGGTTTAGTGTGTATTTATATCGTTCTAGTCACTGTCTTCCATGAGTTCCAATTTTTTGTTCCGAGCATTCCATTTTATTTTCATAACTTCATGAAGTTCTTCTCTTTTTTGGTAGGATTTCTGCATTCCAGCCATCCGTTGCTCATGATGGTCGAAAAATATGAAAGACTGGATGTTGTGTATTCCTCGGTTGAGCTATGGAGAGTCATTGTCAAAGTTGACAGGTTTTTATGTGTATTAATTTTGATGTATATGATCGTGATTGTGGCTATTCGAAGAAGTTGCTTTTGCTGGATATGGTGGTTTTTTTTTTCCCGGTGATTTGCCTCCAGTATCGGGCGCCTTTATCAATTGACTAATCCGGATCGCAAGAATGTGGGCTTACTACGGAGGGCACCTCACTCCCACCGAGTTATTATCGCTGTTGCATACGCAGGGCTCGAACATGAGACCTCTGGTTAAGCTAAAAGGACTCCGTTGCCAGTTGATCTAGGCACTCGGTGGTTGGATATGGTGGTTTTTGATGAGGAAGTAAGTAGTGTGTTTCATCTCTTTTTTTTCTTTTTCTTAAAATGGTTTCATGAAGTTAATCTTTTCTGAAAATGCAGAGAAGTTTTTTCCCTGTTTTTTTGGCTATGTAGATATCTGTGGTCTTTTGGTCAGCTCATAGGATTTGGATATTACTAGGCAAAATGGGGCACATACCTATGCGTTGAGATTTGTTGTGAAGGATGCTGAGTCGAGTTTTCTCTTTTATGATGGCATGCATGTATTTATGCATATAGATTAACATTCAATTTATATTTTTGTCCACTTTGAATATTAACCCCTGCATGGATGTATTTGTGGCAAGAAAAGGATTTCTTGTGAGATCTACGGCGATTCCCTCCTCAAGTGATTGTAACCAAGCATGTTTTGATTATCTTGCATTTTGTTTTTTTTTTGCAGAAAGATCATCTCTGACAAGCTACCCATATGCTGCAAGGGCATTTTGGAACCCAACATTTTTTGAAGCCCATAACTTGAGGAGGGAGCTGCTGAAGGATACTCTGAGGAGTTGAAGCTGTTTCTTAGAGTTAGTAAGATAGCTTTGTCTGATTAGATGTTTCGTTTATGTTGGGGATGTTTTTTTTGTGGGTTCATGGAGTACTAAAACATCAAATTATATATTAGGTTAGGTTTGATCAGGTCTGAAAAGTTCCGGAATGTACTAAATGGGCAAGTATGCTCTGATGATGGTCTGAAAAAACTCTATTAGATGTGATGTGCAGTTTATATGTGGAGTGTTTTGAGTCAGTAAAATTAACCCAAAACTTCCATTTAGACCATATACGCTCTGATGAACTCATATCAACCTATATTATAAATAAAAATCACTTACGAGCCTTGGAAATTCTCTTGGACTATTATAATGGTTACCTTAACCAAAGCATTCAGGTTCTAAAGAGTCTGAATATATAATCTATGAATAATATTGATGACTCAAAACACGTTTCTGATGGAATTTGTCTTACCTTTAGTATCAATACCAGAAAAAACTGCATAATTCTTTTTTGATGTGTTTTTACCGAACGTATATACAGAAAAAGCTGCATAATTCTTAAGGAATTTTGGTTACCTGAACTAAAGCATTCAGATTCTATGAAAAACATGAATGGGAAGCTATTATACCCAATCAAGTTTGGTTAGTTGAACTATATCCTTGACCCAAATTTGTTTGACTGTTGAGTTGTTGACAAAAGTTTTTTATTCTGATAGTCAACACATTTACTTGTATTACAAAAGGCGTTTGATTGACAGATGGTTTCTTCACGTGATTGTTAAGGTTGAGAGCTGAAGGCGTGCTGTTTGAAGTTTCCTATAATGTGGTCCTGAAATTGCTGTCCGTTTGCCTGAGGTGCAGGGTAAGGTTCAGAGTTGAATTTATTTTGTGCAGCAATAATTTGTCTGATATCTGACTCACGTCCATGTGAAGTTGGCTGGAAAGCAGCTTGTTGGTCTAAAGTTAACTTGTGTTAATACACAATCATGAGATCATTAGACTAAAATGAATGGGTGTTTAAATGTGTTGAAAATTTTTTTGTTATCCTTTAACTCATTCACATGACATGAAGGGCATGGGAAAGCTAATATGATTTGAAGTGTATGAATGGTATGCATTATGGCTTGTATCCTGCCAATTGATGCGTGTTTCAATTAATGGATTGATCCTATATATGTTTCTTTCAATCTTCAGAAGGTCAACTACACATAATTTTCATAAAGATCAACCTTGCCCGGCTTCATTGGTGTGGAGATGTTAGTAGTTAATGGAATGCATGCAGCATGTGTGGTCTTTTCATGATTAGTGTATTTAAGTTTGTAGGAGAGGTTTAAGATTCTCTTTTTGGTAGTAGAATGTATTATGTTGAGTAAAATCAAATGTAATTAAGAGATTGTGAAGAAGTGATAAAATGGACTATTCAGTAATATTATACACATAAGCATGATAGTTTTCAAATTCATAATTGTCTTTTGGTCAGAGGAGACGTAGTGTAAATGTGTGGGATCTCTAATTAGGTGATTTAATAAGATTTATAGGTATAGGGATGTATTATTTGTTAAATGTGAATGTGAATTCAGTTTTGAGCAATGGCAAGTGTGGCCACTGGAAGATGGGGATCTCTAAATTTTAGTTGCGGGAACTATTTTTTCTGGGCACCATTGTATCCTGCTGTTAAGTATGGCTTTACTTGAATCGTGTAATTTACTTGCTGCATTATTTTTCCATTCAGTGTACAACTTCTAATTATGATTTGTTTACAGCAGACAGATTTGGTCTTGTCAATCTCCAAGATATACGTAAGTCATTGCCTAATGATCTGAGCTAGATATGCATCAAGCAATATATAAGCATACTTTAATGGACTCAGATGAATACCTCTAGCGAAGGAGGTGCTGGCAGATAATTACCTGATATGAAATGGAACAATGTATTATCAGAGCCATATGTTCTGACTTGCACTCTCTTATGTCAGATTATTAGACAATATTAAATTTGAAGATTTTTATGAGTTCCACCATCTTAATGAGCTCAGTAGCTATATTTATGTTATATTAAATTAGTTTTTAAATGTGTGATTAGTCAGTCAGAGAGACTCACAATTCAAGACTTTATGCCGTGTTCAGATTCTAAAAAGAATATTGTGAATTTTGAGAACCCAGAAATTTGATCTGTACAAGCATAGGCATCATCAATCACGCTTAGACACCCCAAGCATATGATTGGCTCCAAACATCATCACCAATAATACATCACACGTACAAGCCGTAAAATGTATGTAGTTTAGATATGCAATTTATATAATAATTAATATTCATGATACACATATATGAATTAAAGAAATAGACTATATGAGCAAGTAATAGAATAAACTGCGTGTCTGGTGAAGGTTAAAATTTTATCAGCAATCACATAACATTTGGGAGTGTTATTATCAATCTCTGAAGGAGGGCAACAGAACAAATAAAGAAGAAAATGAGATGATAGGAAAAGATGCTTGAACGGCCACAAATATATATTGCATTGAAAGTTAATATTAAAGTTGCAGAGTCATGCAGGGGATTTCTGTAACAGAAGCAAATGTGTCTATGGATAAAGTTGGAAGTAAGTGGCTGGGTTATCAGCTTTTTGTCATCAAATTAATTTTACATAGCCTAATATGGTCCCAATATATGATTATGTGTTTATAAATCAATTATTGTGAAAGATCTTCATCATGATTAAGCCGTGGGAACCAGTTGACAGTAAAGTTTATATGCAGTGTTTGCAAGAATAAATTGATGGAAATTACTACCGACGTTGAAGCCAGTATAGCTACCAGTGGATCAGGAAATTGCAGCGGCCGTGGGGGGCTAGGAGAAATCATTGTTTGTGATCTTGACAGAATCTAACTTTACCGGTTGACAGTAAGTCTTAATTTTGGTGGTTTAATAAGTATTTAGTTGTTGTTGTCAGTAGAAGAAATAGTCTGGCTACTAATCCAGGAGTTATAGTGTCTGTTTAAAATTTGTTCTTTCATTTCTGCACCTGGCATGTGATTCATGAATCAAAATTGTTACCTGGTCAGTGGGTTACTCAATGGTGGTGTGGGATCTGTATTGATGTGACATGAGTTGGTTCAATTTATGGCTTTTGTGAGTTGGTAGGCCACGCTGAAATTGATTAGAGTTTAGATGCCATGTGAAGTTTATGCATCTTGCCGGCAACATACTAGTTTCTTGATATAAAGAAAATATATTACAAGTTATTTGTAAGTATTACCTCTTATTCTTGATATAAGAGCTAATAGACTAATTTGAATATGTTAAGAAAGTTTGTTAAGTTAGTTATGTGTAATAAATAGGTATTTTTTTTAAATACATTTGCTAATCATATATATTAGCTAAAATTACTATTTGATAGAATTTTTAACATATGTAACTATTACAGGGACTATTTTAAAAAATTAGATAAATATGATAGATAAGATAGATTAAAGTTTTATATTTAGGATCAAATTAAAAATCAAACTAGCTCCTATATTAAAAATTAGAAATAATATTAATTAACTAGTGTGGTATAACCGTATAAGTTAGATGAATGCATGAGTTTGTCAGCAACAGAGGAAAAAAAGGGAGAATTAAAATAAAATCTCAAAAAAAAAAAAAAAGCAATTGAGTACCCGATAATGATAAATTTCAGAATAGAAAATAATAATCCCTAAAATTTGTTTTTGTAATTTTTTTCTTTCTTAATGCGCCGTGGTAATCCTCCAAAGAAAAAGGAATGCATGAGCTCGGCGCGGCAAAAAATTTATCCAGCTGGAAATATTGGAAACAGAAATAAATTCAGTGAAATTACGCAATATTATTAATTATTTTATTTTAATAAAAAAAAGCAACTTTGACCCTCTCAGTCGCTCAGACGGCAGTTGCAGACATCTTCTTCTGCCATTCTCCCATTAATCTCTGAAACGCAACTTTGCTTGTTCCTCCATCACCGACGGCCTCCCTCGCCGCGTCTCTCAGCTGTGCTGCAGATTTCTTTAGGGATTCATCGTTCATCATATCTCTGATTCTGTCTCCAATTTCCTCTCCTTTCACTTCTTGTCCCCAACCCCACTTCTTCTCCCACAATCCCAACCCACTCCTCTCCACCACCTCTGCGTTTATCCTTTGATCTCCATGCTGCGGCCATGCCAGAATTCTCACTCCATACCAAGCTGCCTCGATCACAGAGTTCCAACCACAGTGGCTCACAAATCCACCCACTGAACGATGACTCAGAATCTCTCTCTGGTCCACCCATGTCTTCGCAACCAGACCCTTCTTCTTCAACTTCGCTATCAGCCCGTGTCCTACTAATTCTTCTACTTCCTCTTCTTCTTCCCTGTCCACTGGTTTATCCTTCACCACCCACAGAAATCTGCATCCACTTCTCACCAACCCCTCTCCTATTTCTCGGATCTGATCCCTTTTGAGGGCCGTTCTGCTGCCGAAGCTTACGTACACCACCGAATCTTCAGGTTGTTCGTCTAGCCACTTTAATGGAGAATCCACTGAGTTGCCAGTATCTACTTTTTCAAACTCGCACGGCGTGAATGGACCGATATCGAAAAAAGGAGGAAGTAATTTTCTGAGGTTTTCGACGCCATTAATGGCCTCTATGGTCTCTGGTTCTAGCCCTTTGAAAGAGTTAATTAAAACCCCATCAAGTTTCGAGAGGTGTGCGCTGTCTTGGAAGAAGATTTTGGCAAAGAGACTATCGGGAACGAGAAGCAGAGGAGGGATTGAAGATCTGGGGATCGGTGGAATCCCTGGAATGCAAAGAAGATCATCATCATCACCGGCGAACGAAGAAGTAGGGAGGTATGAGAAGAAGGAGAGCATTCTAACAGAAGAGGTGAAGAAAATGAAGGAAGGAAGCGAAAGAGCACGAGTGACAGGAATGACAGGAGAAATCAACGTCATGTCGAGAACGAAAGCAGAGAGAGGGGGCTGTAGGGAGAGAATGAGAGGAGAGAGAAGGTGAGAGGAGCGGCGAATAGCCTCGAATCGGAGCCAAAACGGGTCGGAGGAATTCACGGTGGCTGGATCGAGAGGAAGAAGGTGGAAGTCAAGGAGGTTGACTTGTGGAAGAGAGGATCGGAAGCGAGAGAGAAGCTGTGACTCGGCAAGTGACACGGTGGGGTGAGTGGTGATGAGAGTGACACGGACGTTGTTATGGGCAAGAAGAGCGGCGAGTCTGAGAAACGGCGTGAGGTGGCCCATGCCGGCGCTGGGGAGCAGAGCGACGTGAGCATCAGAAGCAGACATGTTTGGTGTGTCCAGATTGGTCGTCGGAGATGGTGGTTTCTTGAGAGCATACTATTGTCCTATTTATAGATCTTCCCGGGAGTCAATAAACCGGCCGGAAAAATTAAGGATTAATAAATTAGATTGAAGTCAGCGGATCAAACTAAGAATAATTAAAATGTGTAAAAATCTTACTATCTTCTATCCTAATTATAAGAACTAGTTGACTAATTTAAGGAGATTAAGAAAGTAAGTTGAGTTAGTTATTTGTTCTAAATAGGTGTCGTCTTTCTTAAAATATCCTTGCTAATCAAGTGTATTGACTAGAACTATTATTGTTAGAAGGGCTACTTTAGAAAAAATGTATAAATATGAGAGATAACGTGGACTGGAATCTTATATTTAAGACCAAAATAAAAGTCAAATAGGATCTTATATTAAGGACAGAAGGTATGATCTTAAAAAAATAATATCTAACTTTTATTTATTTTCTTTTATTTCTCTTTATTTATGTATTATCATTAAAAAAATTTAATTATTTTTTGTACGTTCATTTCTCATTCTCTATCCTCCATTCTTCACGTCACTTGTTTTACTTTTTCAGTTTTTGACTTTTTTTCCGGTCTTTCATCTTTGTTTCCTCGCATGCGCATCCATCAAATCATATATTACTTCTATAAAATATTATTTATAGTCTATAAATAAGATTTTATAATCAATAGTAGAGGTATTAGATGTCATTTTTCTCATCTACACGCCGATCTCTTGTCTCCTTTCTCTCCAACTCTTTCCTCTTTTCTCTCTTCCTCCTTATCTTCCATCCAAGTTGAATCTGTTTCTCTCTCCTCTTTTTATCCTTACCTTGCATGAGCAATACAAGTCAAGTTGAATACTGAGACGGAGATAACTAGTTGCGATAACCATGGAGTGCAAATGACAATGATGGAGCAAAGAGTGAAGACTACGTCACGGCTACAAGCACTAGCAAAGTTAGATTGGAAGACTAAGCTTAGAAACGATTGATACAGATGAATTCTAGACAAAGAGATTTGGAGTTTCGTTTCTTTCTTTCTTTCTTTTAGTTTTTTTTTTTTAATTTTCTCTAGACCTAAAAAATTATAATCGGGCAATCTATCAACCCATCGACTTACCCAATTTTTTTTCTGGTTCATACCGAGCTAAACTGGTTTTGCACCCGGTTGCTCTCCATCTGGTTTAGGACCTAAACCAAATTGGACTAGTGGCTGGTTTACCAGCCTTCGATGTGAATTGATCGGTTCGATTCGATTTTTTATTCCTTTATACAGTTAATAATCTTTTTTTAATTTTACTTTTGTTGACTTAAAATACAGGAAAAAATAAAATGAATAGGGGATGTTTTTCAATGTTATTCTTGTTTGTTGACTTAATAAATTTGGAGAAAGATAAAACAAATAAATAAGAAAAAATATAACTCGTATTTTTAATACTTTCTTCTAATAAAGGCAAATATTAAAAAAATTATTAATTTTGTTTGTATACAACAGACTTATAAATAGTGATTGTGTGATAAATAAACAGTGAGAAACTAAAATTTAAATATTTATTTAGAAAGGTACTCATATTTAATGACAAATATTACCTCAAAAAAGAAAATGGTAGACAAAAGATGTTAGTCAATAAAATGCGTGCACCAACCTCCTCAACCTCATATTGATAATCTGATCTATTAAAAAAATTAATTTGCGGGTCCTTGCAGGTTTTCATAGTTTTAGCCAATTTTGAATTAGGTACTTATAGTTTTTTTTTTTTTTAATTCCATCCTTATTGTTCGTTCTGTTAGTGGTGTCAGTCCTTCTGTCACAGAAAACCTTACAAACACCGTTAATTTGAGTTAACGGGGATGAAGTGGCCTAAATAAAACCTGACTAAGCACATTGTGCTGCAGGTCAGTTTCGGGCGAAGGAACTACGGGAACCCAAGGGATCTCACAAAGTCTTCTTGCAGAGCCGCTCGTTACCTAGTTCTTTGCGTTCAACGCCAACCGGCAATTGGTGAAGCTAGTCCAGGATAATTCACACCTCTACGCTTTTCCTTCTTTATTTGCAACAGGGTTTATTTAAACCCCGCACTAACCTGCTCCATCCCAAACTCGTTTCTTACTTCTTAATGATTCCAAATCTCTAACAAACCATTCATTGTTCATTACACACATACATTGAGTTCAACATATGCTTTGCCTCAATGCCAGGAAAAGAAAACCATATGCTCTGTTTCTGCATTTGATTTATATATATAGTCTCTTGAAAAATTTCAGTAGTTTGTTCCTCAAACTCTGCGGAGAAGTAGAACAAGATGAAAAATCTGTATTCATGTGCGGTTCACTTCTTATGTGTCTCAGGGTGGGGAATACATAACGCGCACACACTTGCTTCTTGGATCACACTTATGAACGAACATATAGTAAAAGTGCAATGGAAAAGCTGGAGAAACAATCTTATGAATCATCATAGAGTACCTCTTGATATGAACTCCAGCTTTAAGGGGTCAAGTTAGTAAATAAGGTGTTCACACATGAGATGGGCTTGTCTTCTCCAGCGCGACAAATGCTCCACAAAATATTACCCTGTTTTTTGAAACAAAGAACAGGGTAGTGAGTGGCCCTGCGAGGGACTTTGTGAGATCAATTGAGTTGGAAGTTTAACAGTTCCTTCGCCCCAAAACTGACTCACAGCACAGCGCCAGTTGCTTTCACGTGCAAGGAGGCAAATGAAGATTATATGTGTGTGCTTGGTCAGATTTTATTTAGGCCATTTCATTTATGTTAACTCAAATTAATTAACGGCGGTTCTAAGGTTTTTTGACAGAAGGACTAACACCATTAACAAAATAAATAATAAGGACGGGATAAAAATTAAAAGAAAAAACTACAAATACCTAATTTAAAATAGGATAAAATTATAAGGGATTGCAGATTAATTTTTCTTTAATATTATTTCATCTTTACTTGCTTCCCCCCCCTCCCTTGTGTAAAATTAGCTTCTAGGATAGAATTAGGAAATCTTTTTCTTAATTCTTATCCGTTATTTGCAGGTTTTCTGACTTGACTTTGTATCTTTTATTTTATTATTAATAGATTGTGATTTTAATCCCAAAAAAATTGCGCAAAGTAATTTTTTATTCACAAGTATCAAATTTACGATTTATAATAAAACAAGAAAGACCATCAGATTTTATTTTAGTTTTTTTTTATTTCTCTATAAGTTATTGTCTGCCCCCTTTAATTTCAAACTTTCTATGAGTAAATACCATTCATATATGGCGGCATACTTGGACAAATATATAGAGTTGTTAAATTTCTCTTAGTTTCTAATTTTTATCATTTGTTATGATTCGTCTCTATTTTTTTATTTCACTAATCAAATTGATGAGTTTTAAATTTTTTTTAATTTCGATTAACGGTCAGAATCAAGCTAAATGAACATGGTGAATATGGTTGGAGACTCTAGTCTTAGCTATAAATATTTTAGCACCTACAGTGTTTCAAATAAGTCTTTAATAGAAGGATTTTTGTGTTTAATTGAGGGGGGAAAAAACAAGTATGTTATGTTTCCTACATGTACACTCCTTTCATAGAAAAACAAGAATATAATAAATGAATCTACAAATTAAACCTGACCATCAGTTATTTCTAAAGACCAAGGCTTTCCAAAATAGCTCCGTCTTTGAGAGCTCCTTCAGTTCTTCTAGCAATAAGCAAAGCTCAGAGCTATAATGAAGCAATGTATCATCAGCATGAAACTCTTGAACAATACCATTCACTTCAACCCAACTACAACCAGGCTTTCGTCTAACCTTACTAGTTCTCATCAGCTTCCTTACTTCTAATGCCTCTTTCCACAGGTTTGCAGCATAATAAGCATTCCACAAAAGCATATAAAGACCATCATCACTTGCTTCTAACTCAATCACCTTCCTTCCTGCTATTACAGCCAAGTTCAAGTTCCCATGGACTAAGCAAGCTGTGAGGAAGGACCTCCAGATTGCAGCATCAGGTTCAATAGGCATCAGTTCAATCATCTCTTTTGCTTCTTCAAGAAACCCTGCTCGGCCAAGAAGATCAACTAGTGATCCATAATGCTGAATGTTGGATTTCAAGTGATGGTAATGAATCATTCTATTGAACAACATTTTTCCCTCAAGAACTAATCCTGAATGGCTACAAGCTGTCAAAAGAGACAAAAGGGTAACCTCATTTGGAGTTACCCTCAAGGCATGTTGTCCTTCTCCATGATATGTGTAGCCTGATATCATTGTTTTCCATCAAAATACATCCTTATCCAAGATCTCATCAAATATTCTTATAGCCAAGCCAAGCCTCCCGCTTTTTGAGTACATATCCATCAAAGCATTTTTCACTGTGACATCCACCTCGAGGTTTGTTTTGTTAACATTTCCATGGATGGACAGACCAAAATTAGGAGCACCAGTATCGGCACATGAGTACTGCCACTATTGTAGCTGCGCTAGGACGGACCTCCATTTTCTAAAAGAGCTTAAGAGCTTGAACTGGAGCTCCTCCTTTAACATAACCAGTTATCATTGTTGCCCAAGAAACCGCGTTTCTTTCAGGCATTTCGTCGAAGAATTGACATGCAGAATGCATATCATTGGACAGAATATACCGATTAAACAGAGTAGTCCAAGCAAAGATATCCTTTAATCTCTTTCTTTCGAAGACTAAGACTGCTACTTCAATTTTCCCATTTCGACAATACATATCAACCAGTGCATTACCCACAATAGAATTCACGTCTAAATGATTCCTCAAGATCATCCATGAATGGCCCTCCCTCTGATCAAATCCTTGCCTAGACCACATGACGATAAAGCTTCGACCACCAAAAAGCTGTCCGGTTTGAATCCGCTGTCTATGTAAAGGGAAAAGACAGTGAGGTATTTGGCGGGAAGATTAGAGTGGAGGTGGAGATTAAGGAGGTATGTCCAAGACACAATGTCTGGATGTTGAATCTGGTTGAAGGTATTTTGAGCATCTCGTACCTTGCCCAGATTCTTATAAGTTTCTAGAAGATTGCAAGCCAAAGACTGGAAATTGGGTAGAATTCCAAGCGTCACAGAGAGGGTATGGATTCGCTTGAGCTGCTTAAAGGTGGTACATTTCTCTAGTGATCTTTGTAAGAATCTATAGTTCATCGATCATTGATAGATGATTATAAAGTGAGAATTTCGTCTGTATTAGAAATGAGACAAGGGAAGGGAAGACGGTCTCAGCACAATGCAGATATTCCTGCAAAATGAGTGATAATGACATAAATTGAGTAGAAATCCAATTTATAAATTTTTACATCACATGGCTATTGAGCTCTTTGGAACACTTGGTAAAAACTGGGAGTAATAGTGAACCGTAACGAATACTGTCTTACTCATACTCAATTCTCTTGAAGTAAATACTATCCAGAACAGAGAGATTATCCTTTTCATAAACCTTTTTAAAAAAAAATCACCGGATCTTAACTATTTTGTTGAAAGTATAAGGATATAAAATTGCCCACTTGTTTCATATAAAACTCCCCCGCGCATGTACTTTGTTCGAAAATAAAAAATCCCTGCACATCTTACTTTTGCACACCATGTCTGATACTTGATGCATTCACGAAGTGCTTCCACAACGCAAGACTCTAGTTCACGCAGGATTTGAGAGAAGTTATGCTTTGATGATTCAGGGGTAATAAGATTGTAATTTACATAATTGACTTGCCCATTGGTCCTGTAAATCCCTTCAAGTAGCGCGTTGAAGAAGACCAATATAATTATCGATCGTTAGTATCAAGAACTTTGGACTTCCTTCTGAGGAGGGATGAAATGTGCAAGCTAACACCTCCATCCACTCAAGCTGGTTGTGCCATTCCCACAAGATTGCGGGTTTGAAACTCCAGAGTACTGTAGGAATTCGGCTGCACTTCGTCGGTGACTGCAAAGTTAATCATTCTGAGAAGCTCCATTTGTTGTCGTATAACGTATTGTTGTCCTGTAATTTATCCAGGTCCTCACAGAGTCCCTTCCTTTTCTTTGTATAGACGGGATCGTTGATGGCAAAATGAGGAAATTTACTACTACCTTGGGGATTCAGTTTTTGATATAAGATTTAATTAACTAATTTAATAAAATATAAAAAATTATTAAATCACTCAATCATAACATTTGTTATGATTATGTATTATTAGATTATATATTAATTTATAAAGGTAATATATTACTCCTTTAGTCTTATTTATAAAGTAGAGAGACACGGTTTTTTTAGTTATATTTATAAGTTACTTTATTAAATTTTTAATATGAATGTATTATTTTATCTTTCATTTATTATAATATAGATGGTTAATTTTTTTTAAACATGTGTATATTAAATAAGATAAATTTGAAAAGTTGTTATATTTTAATGGAGAGTTAATGCAGTTCATGTGAAATATACTGAAAGTGCTTTATAAATAGAACAAAAGGAGTAGTTTGGGAAAAACTAAATAATAAATATAAATACTTTAAGATTATTTATGAACTTTTTAATTTTTTAAATAAGTTAAGTGGTTTTAATCTTAAGGGGATGTTTGGCAAACTTTACAAAAACACTTTTGGGTTTTAAACCATGGTTTGGCTTGAAAACCATCCAAACACCACCCATTTAAGAAAATTGTGGTTTTGCTTAAACCCATGATTTTAGTATGATAAACCAAGGCATCCAAAGAAGTGAAATTTTTTGGAGGAATTATAATCAAGTCTTGCAGAAGAAAAATAATTACTAAAAAGTTCTAATAACAACCTCAACAGTCTATAATGACAAGTTCTATAGTGAGAATGACAACTTCTATAATTTATTTTTTAATTGTTTTTCTTGTTTAAGACTTAATTATAATTCTCTCAAAATTTTTGGCTTTTTCGTGGCTTTTGGAACAAGATGGAGAGAGAAGATGTGGTCAGCATGTGCAGTGCTAATGCTTTTCTTTTCCTATAACAAGATTCTGACGCCCATGAAAATAAAAGGTTTGTTACCCAAAAAAAAAAAAAAGAAGAGGGAAGGTTCAGTGAAATTATCTATAATACTCCGTATTTATAATTTTGATATGAAATTATCAATTTCTAAAAATGTATTTAATTTTATATTTATATACACAGTAATTATTCATTAATTATATAACTAATAAATTAGGACCAGAGGTAGTATGATTTATTATGTTGGCAAACATATATTATTTGCAAATTTATTATTTAAAAAAAATATAAATTAAAATATATCTTTTATGTAATTACCATATTAATTTATTTTCTTTGTAGTAATCTGCACATCAAAAAAGTGTTTCTAATAATAACTATCCAAACACTCTTATTTTATTAAAATTATTTTTTTTACAAAATCTATTCTTAATTTTTTTTTTTCAGAAGCTATTCTCTAAATTATACATTAATTCTTCCCAACCCAACTTACGAGACAAAGCTGCCACTTCAGAATTTCGTGGGGACCATCCAAAGGGGTCACAGGCGAAAAAACGAAAAACAAAGGTCACACGATAGCAACGCTCCTTCTGGTCGCTGATGAACTGGCGATGAGATATCCCCTCTCTCTGCTCCGTAGTCGGGGCATCCTGCAATGTCCACGTAATAAAATGCACTAAGGACTATGCAGTTCAAACATTCTCATTACTTTATTTAACTACCTCGCTGGCTATTTGCAACTTACAACGATAATTTCAACAGGGGTACTCAGAACATTACTATCATCACGGTAATAGGGGGCATCCAACAACGTATGTATCTTCTCCCGTGTAACTATATGTACACATAATACATTAGTTACTGGCTGATTAAATGCAATGTTTTGTTAGCTGAGACAACATATGCATTACATGCACACATAATGGGAACAAATGTTGGAGTACTGTAATGTGTTCCTTGGGGAGGTACAAGATAGGAAAAAAAATGATAAAATCCCTCAAGCTGGGGGCAACAACCAACACAATATGATGGCGTCAATAACACTCAGATAAAGTTATTGGTTAAGATTGAATAAATAATTGTCCACTTTACCTTCTATCCCGCCATGTCCCCCCCTTAGAAGCAAGATTAGTCTTGTCCCACTCCACAATCGATCCAATTTGTCGGCCACATTCAACAGCAGCCTCGAGTTTTCAAAACCAACTATCTGCTGAAGTTCTTCAAAACTAAGTAAAGGAGCTGAATTCCCTGCTGCAATAGTAGCATCAGCTGTGTTACACTTCCTTTATCATTTTTATAAGAAATAAATAAACTAATTCTGAAAGAAACTCATAGCTAAAGGAGTTGAATTCAGTAAATATGTTTCAAATGTACGGCTCTTCCCCAAATGTCCTCATTCAATAATTAATTATTGGGTTTCACTATTTGATCTCAATAATAAATACAACTTTTTTTATCTGGATGATCAAAGAAAATTGTAACGAATGTTTGAGGAAATCTCAAAAAAAAAAAAGAAAATTGTAACGAATGTTTGAGAAAATCTCAAAAAAAAAAAAGTATAAATATATGAAATTTCAATTCAGGCAGCCAACACTTAAAAATAATAGGAAAGGGGCATTTTGAAAATGCTATGAAATTACACAAATATGACCCCAAAAAAAAAAGTTACAAAAATTATCATTTCTAGTTCAATACTCATCTTTGTTAATTCAACCCTTATCATTTCAGTTCACAACTTCTTAATTAACTAACTAAAATAACAGAAAACAAAAAAAAATATCAAACTTATAATTTTCAGTTCAATGCTTATCATTTGTAGTTCTATTAATGCCATTTATAACTGCTTGCATTCCTAACGTGTTTCAGCAGCAGTCTGCCACCGACACCCGCTACAACTGACACTGAACTTTTCTTTGAACATTGGACCTCTTACATAGTGGTAGTAAAGGCCGCACCGTCACAAGTTTTGCATAATCACCACCATCGTCCAATCTTGCACACTTCGTGCTTTCTTTCTTATTGTTTTGGGCTTCAATCTTGATCACTCCTCTCAAAAATGTGTTTTTTGTAATTAACAATCATAATGACAAATACTTACCACGAGATAGGAATGATTGATTCACCACAAAAGTATGAGATGCATCCATAACTTCTAGAAATTAACCTCTAAGCAAGAAGACCGACAAGTTTGAGTAAGAGATAGCGTTGCAAGCGTCAAGTAGTTCCAAGAACTTACCACCCAACATTCTAAAATTGTAATGGCTCCCCATACAAGGGTCCCTTTTTCATTATATCGGTGAAGTGTTTTCAAAGATTACGACTGAAATTCAGCCATTAGGATCAGTTACATTGATATCTACTAATGAGCACATATTCGATCAGTATATGATAACAATACATGCACATAAACTGATATATGGGCCAAAAAAAGAAAAGGAAAAAAGAAAAAGAAAATGAAAAAACACGAACCGATATGTTCATTTATGTAACTGACAAAGATATTGTCCTGCAAAAGATGGAACATAGATCTATGCCTGCAGACATATTTTTATTAATTTCAAAGACTCAAAATTTGGCTCAAACTCAAAATTAGGTGGAATATTAATCAATAAAAGAGCATTCGCCTTCACAAGAAATTGCAAGCTGGTATCATACTTCTCGTGTTTACATAGAGCACATAAAAATCTAAATGAGCTCTATTTATAACAGCATTCTTGAATCAAACTTGACAGGAAACTATTTGAGTCTAGTTGAGAAGGGGTGTCAAAAACACGGGATAATTTTGCAGCAAACGGTAACAATTTTAATGTCGAGTGAAAAACCGGTTTCAAGGCAAGCAAAGAAACTGATTTCATTTATTTTAATAACTCATTATTAAAGTGGTTTGCCAGCACGAACGCATCCCTCAAGCGATGAACAAGATACAAGCTAGATGATTAAATCAAGCTAGAGAAAAAGATGGTACCTTTCATCGGTTTGAGCAACTTGCTATCCCAGTGAGACGATGTGTCCTGAAAATAGATTATACGGTCATTTCTCATCGTTTCAACCAGAGACAGAGGGATATCAGGGTTTGTGAACCGGATATTTTCAATGCTGCTGTTTTCTTCCCCATAGACATGAATTCCAGACAAATCTATTTCGGTTGTTGGGGTTCCATTGTCGTCTGAAATTACCCTATGAGGATCATATGGCCTGTGGTACTTCAACTCCCACGAAACCTGAACATGATTCCATTTATGTGTTGAAATCACCCTATCGGGTTTGCATCGCAAGCCACACCAAATCATATGTTTTGCCATTTTTTGTTTACAAACAATGTAATTGCACAAATAAACAAGTTGTTCAGAACCATTGACAAAAACTCTCAGCCTAATGTCCAAGATTGAGTCCTCTATTTCTGTGCCTGATCCCCCAGTCACACATATGGCTATCTTTGGGAAATTCTCACGGAACCAGAAAGAAACTGATGATTCTCTGCTTGCATAGAAGGCTGTTGATATTGCCTTTTGGTTCTCCATCATCGGGAAGATATTAAAGAGGGCCCCAAAAAGGGGAAATCCGATGCTAGTGATGGAAAGCGGAACAAAACTAACCAAAGTTTCTGGTAGGGGAAATATTTGAACGAAATTTGCTTCGCTTTTGCTTATACAGTACCCATTAGGGCAATGATCGAACCGAGGGCACCTACTACCTCGATTGCCAGAATCTGGTAGAGAATAGAGTACAATCGTGGGAAAAGACATTTCTGACCTCTGTTTTTCTCGAATTTCATCCCCTCCAAATAACTGAAATCCTCTGCTCCTGTAAGACAGCACCACCTCGAGTTTGGGGATTGTGAATATGCTGCTTGGCAGCTGTCTAAGCCGTGGACAACGCCTCAAGTATAGCCGTTTCAATCCAATAAGTTTTCCAATTGAAAATGGAAGTTCTTTTATGGCAGTGTGATCCAAATAAATTTCTCTTATATTCTCCATGTGTCTCAATACTTCTGGGAACTTCCAAAAACTTGAGCAACCCCTGAGGTCCACAGTCTCAAGAGAAGTCATATTGATGCGGGTTGCTAACATTTTAAGCTGAGTGCAACCTTGGGCACTCAACAATCTGAGCTTATCATGAAACCCAATTGATTCATGAATACTAATCAGATTTGTACAATTATCAAGACACAACGCTCCCAAGTTAGGCAGTCCAGATAGGTCATGTACTTGTGTCAAGCATTTACAGCCTTCAAAATCCATGAGACATAAAGAATGAAACCCCTGCAAAATGATGATCAAAGTTAACTTACCACTAATATATAAGACCAGTAGGATATATGAAAGTAGGTAGAAAAAACAGAATCTACACATGCCTTTCGTGGTTTGAAAATTTGAAGGCAGCATTCAGGTAGGCTGAGTATGAGAAGATTCCTGGGGTTAAAATCAGATGGTAAAGATGATGACGGATATCCGCTCCAGTCCAATACTCTCAAAGTATTTGGGAGATATTCGGGGCCTCTGGAAAAGCGTACATTTTCAATAATAAGGATTCTCAGGTTTTTCATCTTCTTGAATGCCACTCCACGCCATTGCACTTCCTTATATTTGCACGAGTGAAGCATAATAACTTCAATTTTCTCAGTTCCCTTTGAATTCGAAAGCATAAACAAACCAGACAGATTTATTAGGAATGTCATATCCATATTGTCACATTAACTAACTAACTAAATTTAATTTATAATACTTTTCCGGTTCTTAATATAAAACCCAATTCAAGAGTTGATATTCATCCCATATACAAAACATATTTAACATGTTTATCAATATTTTCTTAACAATAATCAAGTAGGAGAGAGAGGGAATTAAGGAAGATACTTAGAGTGTTTTTAGAAAAAAAATCATATTAACTATTTTAACCAACATCATTAATCTACTCAAATTAGATAATTAGGTTTTAAGTTAAGGACCAGACAATTATGTCAAGCTTCAAGCAAATGTTGACAGCATGATAAAATGGCAAGAAAAACTATTTATAAAAAAAAAAAAACAGCTATCCATTTCATCTTCAACAAAATAATTCATAAACAAACAAAAAAAAGAAAGCAAAACCATGGAGACCATTCTAATTTACCGTGTTTTCTTCCAAAACATGAACAATGTCCTCACCGCGCCACAACCTACTTCGCTTGCCAGGCTCAGATGTTGATTCCAGTCTCACAATTTCTCTGCCCGTGTCTTGGATTAAGTCATGCATTCTCACACAGTTTGAATTGTCGATCTTGATGAGAGATTTGTCCATTAAGACTGTAATTCCAATGCCTCCATCTAAGCCATGTGCATAGAGCATTTCCTTGGTGTAAGTCAGTTCTGATTTATTAAAGAAACAAGCAATATCAAGGAAAATTTCCTTCTCATTCTCTTCCAAACTATCATAGCTTACTTTCAGGATTTCATGGACATCTTTATGAGGGATTCTTGCGTACTTGTCTAGCTGAGAATTCCATTCTTCTGTACTTCTATCAAATAGGTCAGACCCTATTACTTCCAAAGCCAACGGAAGGCCACCAGCATAGGAGACTGCACGGTTAGAAACGTCCATGTAATCTGGATCAACCCTGTTACTCTTAAAGGCATTCCAGCTCAGCAATTCAAGGGATTCATTGAAATTTAGCCCCTTCACCTCACATAATTTTTCTACCCCATGAGTACTAAGCAAATGATTATCTCTTGTCGTGACAATGATCCTACTGCCAGATCCAAACCAATCAGATCCTCCGGCAAGTACCTGCAACTGTTTAAGCTTATCAATGTCATCAAGAATCAAAAGAACCTTCTTCCGGCGGAGCCTTTTTTTTATGATGGAAATTCCTCTATGAACATTTCCAATTCTTAGATTGTTTTCTGCAATCACTTCAGAAAGTAGCGTCTCTTGGAGTTGCACAAGTCCATGCATGCCAATAGCCTTCTCTCTAATATCAGCAAGAAAACATAGACCTTCAAATTGATCACCGATGAGGTTATAAACAGCCAGTGCAACTGTTGTTTTACCTACTCCACCGATTCCACATATCCCTACCATGTTAATCCCCTTATGAGACTCAAGTTCCAGAAGTGAGATCACTTCTTGAACGGACGATTCCAGTCCAACAGGGTGATTAGCTATATGTAAAGGAACGCGATTGATCTTTTTGGATACCTCTTCAATGATCCCACTTATAAATTCATATTCAGGTTGAGATCTGTGACAGGGCAGAAAATCATGTGAAGTGA